CAAAAGTAAGACTGCATTTTGAGCTATTTTGCAATTACTTCTACATATACAGCATGAACACACACAAATCAGGACTTTTTTTTTAATTAAATTAAAATATATTATTATAGGTATTTGATTTTTATTTTAGTATATAATTTGTTTTTTTTCCGTTCTAAGATGACAAACCCTCTTCCCCAAAGGAGTACTTCCAGGGCAAGGGGAGGGACTTCTGGTGACAAAGGTCAGAGGTTAGGGATGGGACTTCTGGTCCCAAGATGGTGACCAGGGGGCAGGGCACCTGTCAAGGGGTGGGACTACACATGTACCCTTGACAGCTTGCTAAAACTCAGTAAGTGGCCTTCCGCCTGAAGTAATTACCCACCCCTGGTATAGCACCATCCAGTGACTGGATCAGATTCAGTCAGAACAGATGTAAGGTGCAAGGGTGTTAAGAGTGAGTATAGGTAACCATTGGGAATGCTTACCAAGGGTGGTGGTGAGTACTCTATCATGAGCAGTTTTTGAACCAGAGCTGGAGGTGTTTCTGAGAGACCCTTTCTGGAGCAGACAGGGGTCAGCTCAGGGCAGCACTGGAGCCTGCTCTCAGGTAGATGGCCAATTGATGGCAGTAGCTCCTGTTGGCCTTTGAGAATGAATGAAGAAAAATGCTGCTTTGGGTCCTGCAGGTAAAGGTGATGCGGTGCCTAGAGCACCCCAATGTGCTGAAGTTCATTGGAGTGCTGTACAAGGACAAGAGGCTGAATTTCATCACAGAATACATCAAAGGGGGGACCCTACGAGGCATCATCAAGAGCATGGTGAGTGGTGGGCTGCCCAGGCTGGAGGCCCCTCATGCCAGCCTGCCACTTACGGGCTTGAGGCATAAGCCTTGAGCAGGGTAATTTTGATTCCCAGTGGACCATGCGTGACTGGGTGGGAAGGGTGGCTGACACTACCAAGTGGATTGGGCTGTGCGCGTTTTCCATGGGGCCTGGGACTCTCTGGGTGCAGCACTGTCAAAGCTACTGCCCCTGGATCTGCTGCTCATGCACAGAGTCTGTGAGATACTGTCCCTAAAAAGATGTAGACAAACACTTACACACAGGGAGTGGCTGTGACCCATGGCCAAGGGGCTTCAGGGGGGCAGGGCAGGATGGGAGTCAATCACCCCTTCCTTTCCTTCTCACTGATGGACTTTTCTGTCTGCAGGAGAGCCAGTACCCATGGAGCCAGCGTGTTAGCTTTGCCAAGGACATTGCAGCTGGGATGGTGAGTGTTGGGCTCAGCAGCAGGGTTGTCAAGTGAGCAGTCAGCTGAGGCTGCTGTGCAAGGGTTTGCTCCACACATATGTACATAGCTCCTTCCAGAAGGACACGGGGAAACTACATGCAAATATACAAGGGAGGAGGGTGCATACTGGAGTATCGTAGGGTGCTCTGGGCTAGTGTACACCTAGGCAGGCTTCGGGTGAGGAAGGGCATTGTGTGTATGCAAGCAAGGGGCTTTAGGTGAATCCAGGGGTGCTGCTGCTTTTACGCAGTTGGGAGCACTGGGCCAGTGGGGCATTGCTGTGTGTGCACATGGGAGGCTTTGTGTGAATGTACATGAAAGCCTTGCAATGCTTGTACATGTAGGGTGGGGAGCATTGTTGTGGGCAGGCTTTGTATTACTGAATGTACATACCACTCCCATGACACCAATAGCTGTGAGCAGGTACCTCTCTGACCTTGGTCTTTACCATCTGTAGGCCTACCTGCACGCAATGAACATTATCCATCGTGACCTCAACTCTCACAACTGCCTTGTGCGGGAGGTAAGTGTCACTCTCCTCTCTGTCCCTGCTTATATCAGCATAGGGCCCTCAGTTGTGGTCTGGGAGCAGAGGGGCTGCCAGCCATCATGGCTGACATGGCTCAGCATGGTGTCCATCAGAGACTTCTCCCAGCTTGGGCACTACACAGCTGTCTCACCACAGCATGCCCTGAGCAGCTACTATCTCAGCATTTCCCTCTGACTAGTCTCCCTGCTAGCCTAGCCTGTGTCTCTCACACCCAGAACAAGAGTGTGGTGGTGGCTGATTTTGGGCTATCCAGGCTCATGGTAGATGAGAAGAACCCACCGGACCAGCTCAAGAGCCTAAAGAAACCCGACAGGAAGAAGCGCTACACAGTGGTAGGGAACCCCTACTGGATGGCCCCAGAGATGATCAATGGTGAGTGGAGTGGAGTGGATGGGACCCTGCGACATCCAGTGAAGTCAGCAAAAGTTAGTCTGTCTTGCACTACGAGAGGAGGAGCCAGGGGCACCTTTGGGCTTTTCTACATGGGCACTGTTTATGCCCCATTGCCCTGTGCCTGCTGACATGCTCCCAATCCAGAAGCACATTGCTGAGGCCCTGTGGAGTATTTTTCAGGCCTCTGGAGGCTGAGGGCTCAAGAGCAGGTAGAAAGACAAGCCTGGCATGGCTTTTTTGATGTGGTTATGGTATGGTGTGTGTCAGTGGGCAGGGCCATCCCGGGAGGGGGTGGGGAGGAGCGCTAATCGAGACAACTGCCCTGAGACCTGCGCTTTGGGGGCCCTGCAGAGCTGGGCAGAGCAGCGATGGTGTGGAGCACCCCCACCCAGTGCCGCCACCACTGATGGCAGCAGCAGCCTCTTCAGGTCCAGGGCCCATGGGATCGGAGCAGGGGCAGGGTCCTGCATGGGCTGATTTGTCCTGGGCCCTGCACCCTGCTCAGCTCAGCTCTGTTGATGAGTCCAGGTGGGTGGGCTGTGTGCACGCTGGCTTGAGCTTCTGCCCTTGTGCTGGGACCCATTGCTTCTACAGTATAGACAAGGCCTCAGAGGCCTGGCTATTCTGGGATGATTTCCCTGATCAGGGATCCTGTCATATGCACACACACAGGAGCAGCACCAAGTACCCTGTAGCAGAGGTCTGGGTATGAGATGGGAGGAGGCAGACCAGGGTGTGGGGGGTATAGAGGCAGGATGCTCTGACCTTCCTTTTCTCCCCACAGGCAGAAGCTATGATGAGAAGGTGGACATCTTTTCTTTTGGCATCCTCTTGTGTGAGGTAAGTGCCCTCCCCAGGGCTCAGTGTTATGTGAGTGTACACACATCTCCTTTACCCTCTGCTCTCCCCTTTTGCCAGGGTCTCAAGAATCCAGCTGCCCTGGGGGATGCTCCTGCTTGGGAGCGCAGTGGCTGAAATGCTACAACACCGTAGGTCTCCTTGCTCTGATCCTAACCCCTGTGCTCCTGCTCCCTCCCAGATCATCGGCCGAGTCAGCGCTGACCCTGACTACCTGCCCCGGACCATGGACTTTGGTCTCAATGTACGAGGGTTCTTGGACCGGTACTGGCCCCCTACCTGTCCACCCAGCTTCTTCCCCATTGCTGTGCGCTGCTGTGACCTAGATCCTGAGAAGAGGTGAGCAGTAGACACAGAGCTGCCTTGCAGGAGGACAGGCCTCAGGACGGGGAAGGCAAGGAGCTGAGATCTGTTTCTGGTCCCTGAAGGGGAACATTCTTCCCACTGGGAACACAGGAGAGGCTGGGCTGTGGGATCTCTAGCCCCAGAGTGGGTAAGGGGGGGTCTGATGTGGATGTCCAGGGTACTTTCACTAGGTTGTGAAGATCCCTGGTTGTGCTTAGGGTGGTGCAGCCTGACTGTGGGTAAAATCTGACCTCATGGGGTGTGGAGAGGCATGTGAGGTCAGGTCATGCTGAGCTGGGGGTGGGGTCTGTCTTTTTGGGCTGTGAGGCAGGGTGTGATGTCAGGCTGAGCTGTAACTTGACCTCTGACCTTACAGACAGTAAGGCAGTGTGACTCCAAGGTGGGGTCTGACATGCTCCCCCATGCTGGACTGTAGCAACCTATGTCTCTCCCCACCCAGGCCCTCCTTCAGCAAACTGGAGCAATGGCTGGAGACACTGCACATGCACCTGGAGATCCGCCTGCCATTGAGCTCACAGCTGGAGCAGCTGGAAGGGGCCTTCTGGGAGACGCACCGGCGAGGCGAGGGTGGGCTGCCAATGCACCCTGAGGTCCCTGACTGAGCACTGGGCAGGTGCTCATGTAAATAGTTCACACCGAGCCCCGGCACAGGAAGGGGTGCTCACTACATGCTCCCACAGTGCCCAGGGCCTTGCACTCCCAGTGCATGGTGAATACAGCCATGGAGGACAAGTGCTACATCCTGCCCAGCATCCGCTGCCCCACGGCGAAATCTCTGGGGT